GCGAGTCAACCAAGAGGCTTTTTTTTTCCCTAAAAGAAGGGGAAGAGCTTTAAAATTCCGAGGGAAAATCGTGATGATTAATTTTTGTTAAATAATATAAAGAAAGGCAAGGAGGGGACGGGTGTGGAAGAGAAGGTTTGTAGACGGAGGAGGAGAGAAATGAAAACGCTCTTTGCTAGAACAATTTCAGAGTTTCACTTCCTCGCGTTTTTAGCTGGTTTTCCCAGCACTTTTATGTTTTCCTTAAAAAAAAAAAAACATTGTAAATATATTTATCGTCCGGGTGTTGTAAGGCTTTTTAACAGTCTAGTTTTCGTGGCCAGGGCGAAGAGAGGAAATAACCTCACTTTTCAAGAACGAAACACGGGTGGCTTAAAGCGCCCCCCGTTTTCAAGCAGACCCCCTCCCCAAAAGCACTTTCTCCTCTTCTTCTTCTCCCTTTCCCCTCCCACCCCACATTGCTAATAACCCCATTTAAAACTTCATCAGCGCTGTAATGATAGCAAACAGAGCAGCAATTGCCTGCTAACCGTCGGATCTGCGCTGTAATTAATTCAATGTCTGTTTTAATCAAACTGAGGAGCGATCAAGTTTTTTTTCCCCCCCCTCCAGTCCGGGTGGCACGCGTGACGTCACCCTAAAAGACAGCCGGCCAATCCGGAGGGGCCCTGCGGGGCACGTGGGCTCGGATACTCGGTTAAAATTTAAAAAAAAAAAAGAAAAGGGGGGGAAAAAAGCAACCGTAGGGGGAAAAGATAGAGGAGGCGGAGAAGAAAAAGAAAAGAAAGTCGGCGTGAGTCGGAGCGGGTTTCCGCCATAGAGAAAGCGGGACAACGAGGGGGGACGCCTCCGGAGCTGTCCTTGGTGCTGAAACGGCGCGCCGAGGCCGTTTCGCCCCCCACGAAATCTCCTCCCGAGCGATAGATCCCGAAGGATCCCGCAGGATCATGGGAGGAGACGAAGCGGAGATCCCCCTCGTCCGCTACTTCGAGCGTTTACTAAGGTGCTGATAGATTCTCACTGTATTAAGCGGGTCTTAAGCTTTGGTGTCCCGGGGTGTTCATGTTGGATTGGGTGCTGTCCATAGTGCTGAAAAACCTCAACTTCCTTGCTAATCCCCCCCTCTCTCTTTCTCTCTCCCTCTCCCTCTCTCCCTCCCTCCCCCCTCTCTCTCTGTGTCTTTCTCTCCTTCTTTCTCTTTCTCCCTCTCCCCCCTCTCTCCCTCTTTCTCTCCATCTTTTCCTTTCTCGAGGATGAGCTTCTTTCGGTTGGGCTGTTGTGAAAGTTTGCTGTCATTCCTATGCTGGGTTTCGGACACATTGGGTCGGAGTTGACTTGGTCTTTGATTTAAGATCTGGGCGGCCCGAGGGGTATTCAGGACCAGAGGTTGCGATGGGACAATTCACAACCTTGTGGGCGCTTATGGGAGAGTCAGGTCGGTTGAACTCCATGCGATCCAACCCGCCCAGCGAGCAGAAATGAAGCGGGCAGCCGCCTCAAGAGCTTGAGTGGTTGAAGTGCTTTCCCTCATCCTTGGGAGAGTAAAGCCCCTTTGAACCCCCGGTGGGCTCAATTTGGAGAAAGTCAACAGCCGGTGTAAGTTGCGGTTGGGATTTAAGGCACGCTCAATTGCAAATGAATCTTGTTGAATCCAATGGGTTTATTCTTTTTATAAAGCCTGATTAACGTCTAGGACCAACTCAACTCGGCTCCTTCCTTTTTCCCTTTGCCTTTTGACAGTTTTCCTTCCCTTTTTTTCTCTCTTCCCGCTGCAGCCGATTTGGACGCTGATCGCGCCCCCTCCCCCTCCGCGCCCACCACCCCAAAGTCGGGACCTTGGATGTTAAATGCGGGCCAGGAATTGTGCGTTTCCCAGTGGTGCGAGCGTGCCTCCTTCGCCTCTTCCCCCCCTCTCCCTCTCTACTTCCGTAACCTCGGCGGGTTCATGCATTCCTGACAAACGGCATGGAAAACGCCAACGGATTTGGGATCGACTCCCTCCTCTCCCATCGATCCGGGAGCCCAGCTGCACCCAAAGGAGACCCGCCGCTCCTGGGAGACACCAGATCCTCTCTGGAACTTAGCCCTCGCTCGGAACTCAGCAGCGGCTGCCTGTCTCCCCCGTCCCCCCGGAGGGATTGTTTGGAAGCGGCAGCTCAGTTACCCGGCGGCTGCGGAGGCGGAGGAGGGGTGGTGAGGCTGGAGCCTCACCTGCCGGGCCCCCCCATTTCAGCCGCCTCGGCTCAATCGAGAACGGTGACCTCCTCCTTCCTCATCAGGGACATTTTGGCCGATTGCAAACCCTTGGCGGCCTGCGCCCCTTATTCCAGCAGCCACGGGCAGGGCGCGCAGGAAGCGCCGGCCCCCATTCCCGCCAAGGCCGGCGGCGAGGACTTTCGGGAGAAAATCGAAAAAACTAGCAGCAATTCTTCCTTGGATTCAGAATACAAAGGTAAGGAGGAGGAGGACACTGTAAAAAGACGCGTGGTTTGCAAAGGGGAGCGGGGAAACCAGCTTAAATTCCCCAAACGGGACCATCAATTTGTATTTTTTTAGAAAAGTCACCAAGTTTAGTTCTCTTTAATCATTCTGAAAAGTCACCCAAAACTGAAACGGGGGGGGAGGGGGGCTAGAGAAACTAAAGTCTGGGAACATCTAACCACCCCTTTCCTTTGGTGGGTAGCTGACTTCCTCCCCCCCTCCCTCTGATCTTCCAAGCCTTCTCCATTTCCTGACTTCTGCTAATAACGCTAATACTAATAATAACAAGATCATTTGCGACGTGTTAGTACCACTTGATAAGAAGCCTTAGGTAAGGTCTCACATTTGGAATACTGCGCCCAGTTTTGGTCGCCGGGATATTAAATTAAAAAAAAAAAGATGTTGAGTCTCTAGAAAGAGTGCAGAAAAGAGGCGAAAACATAGGAAAGGCGGTTGCGGGGATTGAGTTTAACGAAAAGAAGGACTAGGCAGCGGTCTTCCACTATTTGAGGGGCTGCCCCAAAGAAGAGGGAGTCAAGCTATTCTCCAAAGCAGCTGAAGGCAGGACAAGAAGCAGCGGGTGAAAAAGATTATTAAAGAGAGATCCAAGAATTATGGAGAAATGTCCTGACAGGGAGAACAATTAATCAGTGGAACAAGTTGCCTCCAGAAGTTGTGAATGCTCCGACACTGGAGGTTTTTAAAGAAGAGGTTGGATATCCATTTGTCTGAAATGGGATAGAGTATCTTGCTTGAACAGGGGGCTGGACTAGAAGGCCTCCAACTTTGTTATTCTCTTAAAAACCAATAACAAGGAAAGAGAGGGCAAAGTCCCCCCCCCCCCACCTTATAATTCTTGGACTGTTAGGAGCGATCAGAACGGAGTGACGGGAAGAGTGGAGAGAATTTGGAGGGTTCAATTAGCAACCTTTGTTGGGGGAATCTGCTTTATATTACCTGCAAGATTTGGGACAATCTCTCAGCATCACCGGGGATAACTAATTAACCCTTCATTGCCAGCTTCTGCTGAGTATTCTCCAGTCAAATACTACATTGCAACAACAAAAATTATCATTGCCCTCATGTTTCGGAGGGACCGCTCCTAGGAAAAATCCAGATCTTGCAAGAAGAGCCAGAAGGAAGGAGAAAATCCAACTTGCACCCAAGGTGTTGTTTTTTTAAAATTAATAGATAGACTGCCTCTACCTAGGGAGGTTCCAGGAGAAAATTTCCCTTTTTTTTCAAATGGAAAGCTGGGTTGAATTCGGCTCCCTTGTAAGGCTGTGGACCCATCGAGTTGGCAGCATGCGATGGGGATTTTTAGTTGCAGGTGGATCCCCAGCCTTCCTACCAGGTTGGGACTAATTAAGCATCGGGTACACCCTGAGTCCGGCAGAGCTGAAACTTTCTACCCCTTCCCTCGGCTAGGGATCAACAGAGGTAGGGGTGATGGTTGAATTGGCTGGCTTACCAGCCATCTGGATCCCTTCCCCGAGTCCAGGGGCCGTTTCCTTCCCTCTGGAGGTCGGTTTGGTAGGTCTCCCGCCGGATCGGCGTTCGGGCTTCATGGCGGGGGTCTTCCGAGGCGTTATTCAGCGGCCTGGTGCCCCTCTTCCTTCCCACACTTGAAGCAAGTTGGTGGCCTTTGCGCTTAGGGCGTTTTGTGGTTTAAACGGCTTCCTTTTCCCTTAGCGGGGTGATGTTCTCCATATTCATCCGGCTCGGTATTGGTTTCTGGCCATATCTATTTCAGCGTCCTCAGCTACGAGGTACCACTTGTGTAAGCAGTGAGGAGACCCTCGGGCCAGGGAGGAGGTGTACCGGCCATCGTCCAGCCCGTCTTTGAACCAGCTCACCCAGAGGTCCACCCGGTTTCGATCCACGCGAGGTTTCGGAATTCCTGGGTGCATTCCGCTCCTGGCCTGCCACCTTGTTTCACCATCCGGTTACGATCCCGGTTGGCCAAAGGCTCTTCAGATCTGTAGTCGGAGGGCCATCATGAAACAAGGGTCAAAAATTCCGCAGCTCGGGAGTATCGGCCTTGTGGAGTACCGCCGTCCAACGAGCAGCCGCTCCGTTTAACGCTAGGGTCACCCCTCAAACTCGTGCCCCTTGGGTTGGTTTCGCCCGTACTCTTACTTGTACGTGAGGACTTGGGCGAAGAAGAATCCCAGCTTCTGGGGGGTCTCCATTGTATTGGACACCTAGTGGGGGGAAAGTCTTCCTCTCTAGTCTGGGTTGGCCGGGGACAATCATCTGGGGTGGCCTGATGGGTGGCAGGTTCTCTGGTCCGGCTCCGTGGGTCTGGGGTGGCGGCTCCCCCCCCCCCAATCTCTGGCTGGTGCCTCTTCCGCGCTCCTTCGTTGGAGGTCTCAGCAACTCGGACGTTTTAAGTTCTCCAACGCTTCCACCACGAATCGGTTGATTTGTCTTTTTAAGTTGACACTCCGTGTGGTTCCTTTTGATCGGATAGGGCCTCCCGTTCCAGGTTTTTGGATGAGAATGACACACACACACACCCAATTCTGCCATCCCGGCTGTCCTTCTTCCCCACCCCGGTTGACCATCGCGGCTTGGGTGGAGTTTTCCAGGATCGCTTCGGCGTCTTCGATGGGGCAAGCGCCTCCAGTTGAGCGGGCATTGGCGTCTCCCTTCCCCCAACCTCCAGCTTCTCTCTGCTCGCTTGCTCGATCCCCTCGATAGAGGGGAAAAAAATTTCTCTCTCTCCGGGGGTTGATCACTTTTGCAGACCCGGCTTTAGGGAAGACCCGGCCTCTCCCCCTTAATCAAGGCAGTAGAGAGTCTTTAAACTTGGCATTTGAAAAAGAAAGCTGGGAGGAAGGCAAAAGGGCCTGGGGTCCTTAAGGTAATTCAATAGCAATAAAAGAAGTTCGAATCCCCTCCCAACCGTCCATCCCGGCGTGGATTTGGCCAAGGTGTGAAGATGGGGTTTTTTTTGTTGTTAAGAGAAGATCTGGGAAAGGGATAAGAAGATTTTCTCAGCCTGAATGAGGCAGTTCACATGGCTCTCCCTCCGAGATTAATTTACCTGGTATGGGATGTATAGGAAAGAAGGGTAGAAAAGGCCTGTTTATTTTATTGCATTTATTTATTCCACCAAGCATGAATTAGATAGCAGATATAAGAATAGACATGATCTTGGATACATGGAATGGATACGAATAGAAGGGAATAAATATTAGGATAGGGGCGGTAGGCACGCTGGTGCGCTTATGCACGCCCCTTCCAGACCTCTTAGGAATGGGGTGAGGTCCACGGTAGACAGTCTAAAGTTAAAGTTTTGGGGAGGTTGGGGGAAGAAACCCCACAGAGCAGTGCGTTCCAGGCGTTGACCACTCTGTGGCTGAAGTCGCCTTTTCTGCCATCGAGTTTGGAGCGGTTTACACCTTGAGTTTCTATCTATTGTGAGATCTCGTGTTGCTGTGGTTGAAGCTGAAGTAGTTATTGACAGGTAGGAGATTGTAGTGGATAATTTTATGTCTAAAGGGAGTATGGGAACCTCCTCTTTCTCTCCCCCCCCCCGGAAGAATGGTAGATTCACGAACCGGACACCCCCTTCCCATTTCATTCTGTCCTATGTACATCCCGTGGCTTTGCAGCACGCCCATTTTAGCTGGCCTGGGAAAGAAAGGTGGATCGGATTGCTTTTCCCTGGGAAATAAGCACCAAGAAAATGAGATCATGCAGAGCCAGGAGTAGGAAGGGGGAAGAGGGAGTCCTGTAGAGGGGATAGGCAGTGGGGGAGTAAGGAAACTGTCCCAGTCAAGGAAGGAAGGAAGGAAGGAAGAAAGAAAGAAAGAAAGAAAGAAAGAAAGAAAGAGAGGAATTGAGGAAGAAAATAAGGAAAGACATAAGGGAGGAAGGAAATAAAAAATGGAAGGAAAGAAATGAGGAAGGAAAGAAGAAGGACATGGGGAGTAAGGAAAGAAAAAGAGGACAGACAGACGGACGGACGGACGGAAGGAAGGAAGGACAGACAGACAGAAGGAAGGAAATCCCTGCTAGTTTACCTCTTAAGCATTCCCACAGATTTCAAACCAGAGTCTGAATAGAAGTAACTCCTAATCTATTCTCATTCATTTTTGAAGAGGGTCGGGGGGGGGGGGCGCATCGCTTTGCATGAGAAAATCATTGAAATCCAAAGGCCGGGTGGGGAATAATTACCAGGCTATTTAAAAAAAAACAATCCTCTCCTTGAGTTTCAGTCTAAAGACGGGGAGCAGATGCGTGGCCAGATGTTAGGCAGGGAAGCGATTTTGCTCACCGCCGCTCTTGGCGACAAGCTACAAAACACGCGCGGCTTTTACGCACGGCGGCCAGTGGCAGTAGAATGGGATTTTTTTTGCGTGGGGTTTTTCTGCTTCTTTTTTACGAGGCCCTGGTGGGTTCCCCCCCCCCAATCGAAAGCGCTTCCCAAGATTGCAATATGATTTCTCCCCCCCCCCACTTTAATCTGATTTCTTTTCTTTTCCCCCCTTTAATCTGATTTCTTTTTGACCTTTGCATGTCTCCCTTCCCTCTAGATTAGAAGTTGGGACTGTAATTAGTTTCTGCGTGGCTCTTCTTACCACCTCTTAAGACTCCGTATCGCCGTGAAATCGAAGCTTCGGGGGTTATTTTTTTTCTCAAAAAACAAGCCCCCCCCCCCAAAAAAAAGCCGAAACGGATCCAAAACCTCAAAACGAAGCTTTGGTTCTACAGCGCAAATGCTCGCCGGTCCTTGCAAATGGCTGAAAAAGACGGGGAAGGGTTGAAAAAGGAAGGAGGGGAAGGGGGGTGAAATCGCCGGCTTTTCTCACCAAACGGGGGTGGGGGGCGGGAGTCGAAACTTAGGGCGCCCCCTTAACTTTCTCTCCCCCCCCCCGCTTCCTCCTGACAGCCCATTTCAAAATCCAAGCGAAGGTCTGAAGAGAAAATAAACTCTTCTCCCCCAAAGATTTGGGAACTTTC